GACGCCGCGCCGAGCCGCGGGCGGGAAGCGGAGCCGGGGCGAAGCGGAGCCGGGGCGACGCGGAGCGGGTAAGCGCGGCCGTGCCCGCTCCCTGGTGCCAGCCGCTGCCCTGTGCTGCGGGGAAGGTGGAGGTGGCACCACGCGAGCTGCTGAGCAAAGCCCCTCTTGCTGCACCCACCAATAAGTGACCCCTGTGAAGGGCTGGCCGCGGGACCGATGGTCTCGCAGAGGTCGTGGTGTGGAGGAGGCTTCAATGGGGACCTGTTTAGAGCTCTCCCGGTGGAATCCCATGGACTGGGATGTTTACATGGATTTGGGGAGAGGGAAGTGTGCTTAGGGAGATATTTGGGCACTGATTCCTGAGATATCACTGAGATAAGTGCCCTCCACAGTACGGTGGCATTGAAGCTGTCCATGTTCTAGGAACACTGCAGCCCAAGCAGGAGATCTTAGCAATTCCTCGTGCATTAAAATCCCACACTGTGGATTGAAGACCAAGCACTGTCCAGCCGGGCTGTGCTTGCACACAGCTTGCACGCCGCCACGGCACGAGAGCATCCGCACGCTCTGAAACGCAGCCTGGCTCTTCATAGAGCTCTTGACCTGGTTCTTTCATAGAATCACCGAATCCTTAAGGTTGGAAGGGACCTCTAGAGGTCTAGTGCGACCCACCTGCGCACGCAGGGGCACCCAGAGCACGTGGCACAGGCTGCATCCAAACAGGTTTGGAAGTTCTCCAGAGAAGGAGACTCCACAGCCTCTCTGGGCAGCCTGTTCCAGGGCTCTGGCACCCTCACAGTGAAGAATTATTCCCTTAAATTCCTGTGGAACTTTAACGCCCGTTTTTTTGATGCCGTTGTCACTGTTCGTGCAGTTGTCCCTGCTCAGCCCGGGCTCCTGCAGGCCTTAGTAAGACACATTGAGCCCCTAGCCCTGCAGGGCTGCAAACCCAGCATGAGCAAGCGGGGCTTTGCCACGAGCACCTTTGGGTGCTGCTGGTGGCCAGCACCCATGGTGACAGGGCTCCCTCTGGCGGTCACTGTGGCCACCTTGTTCTCCTGTAAATATCTTAATAAGCAAACGAGCGAGCGGTGCCTGCCCAGACTGAGAGATGATCCACAAGAACAAAGAAATAAAACCTTGTATTGCTGACAAAGTAGAAAGGCTTCAAAACACACGTGTGACTAGCCCTGGGCACAGGCCCTAGAAGGTCTTACTTTGTTTGGAGTTGTAAAGCTACTTAAGTGCCTCTTAAGGGCAAGGAACAAGAAAGTGGTGGTATGTGGAAATGTTGCGACAGAGTGAAAGGGCCCTCAATTCTTTGAGTTTAAGGTTGAATGAGTAGTTTTATGTTAGAGAAAATTACAGCGTGGCTGGATTTCTGTGGTTTGTTTCTGCAGTGCATCTTCATTTGCAATGTAATTGGAACATCGGTTTGTGACGTTGTCGCAATCTCTCCCTTTTTTCTTTTTTTTATTCTTAATAGGCACAACTTTTATATGGAGTGGAAATGAATTGATAGAGGTCATCTCTTATGATGCAGTTTTTTACCAGTAGAAGTGGATCTTGTGACGCTGCCTTTGGAGTAACACAACTTCCTTGTGCGTTGCTTTTGTTTCTTGTTTTATGTGAAAAGTTTTAATGTTATGGAGGAATGTAAGTGTTAATATATTGCAAATAACTGTATATTGCTAAAACTATTTTGAAAACATGCCCTGCATCAAACATTGTCCTCCCTCTCATTGCATTACTACACTCAGGTTCCAGGTTAGAGCATGCAAAAGCTCATCTGAGATCCCAAAAGAGCCATCAGCATTGGATGTGTGTCTCAGATCTGCTCTAATTTGCCAGACATTCCGGGGGAGACACAGGACTCGCTAAAATTTGGGAGGAATAGGAATTCCTTGGAGCACTGACGTCACTGAAATAGCTTCCCCTTTATCCTGACACCCGGCTGCCATGTGCTGCTGGCAGACAGGTGCCACAGTGATCCTTAACCTCCACATTTCCCAAATAACATATCCCCATCTTACTCTTTTTAGGATTTGGGCAAAGGTTGCAAACAGGACAAAGCCCTTTTATACTTGATATTGTACAACATGATATTAGTAGTCACAGCCTTGTCCAGGCATGTTGCACTTACCAATGATGCTTTTATTTCTAACTTAATTCCTTAGCCTTGCTGACAAGCCAGCATTTTACCTCAATAAGGACCTCGAAAGGTGCTCCTAAGGCAAGTGGTCGCCAGGAACAAGGATGTGCAGGGCTTTTTAGGAGTTAAACAGGGCCTTTAGGGCCATTCTTTCATTGATAAACCTGTAACATCTCAGTTGAAACGCTGGCCACGTGGCCTGCTTGTAAGCATTGAGGGGAAGGAAATTCTGCAGGCCAGTCATCCCCCATGGGAACTTCCACCCCAAATGTAGATACTGCTCCTTTTTCCTATTCAGGAAGCTCAGTTCCTGTGAGCAGAAACCTTTGCTGCTCAGCTGAGCCTTCTGCTGCTACCATCTGTGCGATAGAAATGTTTGCTGCTGGTCTCTTTTGGCACCTCTGCAACGTGGGATGAATGTCATGGTAGTTGATTTCCCATAAGATAAAGTAACACAGTGAAGGTGCCTTTCCCTTAAGTGTGGGTGGAGACTAGGGAACTGCTGGCTTTGGGCAGTGCATTGAGGGCACTGGGGTCTCCTCCATCTGCTTGAAAAGCAGGAGAGCAAGGAGGGTGTTGGAGACTAGAGACTGTTGGAGACTGTGTTTCCCAGCACAGCTGCTCCGTTTGCTCTACGTGCAAAAACCTTTGCTCAGGTTTTAACGTAGCATCAGTAGGTTCCACTTCTTACCCTTACAGTTCTACCCAGAAAAAATGAATTAAAATTGTCTGAATACTCTTGGTTTTGATGTTTCTCCACAACGAAGGTTTCAAAACCAATGAGAAATGAGGGATTGGTCCCGTGCAAGCTCATTAATTTCAGAAATGGCTTTGCCTTTAGCCCAGGCAGGCTCACAGGATTATATAATGTTCCATCTGTACAAGAGCATCAGACACCCACCAGCTAAGGAATTCAATGAAAAATACCACAAATCCTTGGTGAAGATGGTGAAAATTGATCAAGGTGAATCACGGTTTTAAAATAACTTGTATAGGAAACGGGCAAGCTATTGCATGGCTGGTATTTAGCAGTATGTGTTCAACAGATGTTTAAAATGATTAGTCATTCCTTATAATAATAAAGGCCTAACACTGAATTTCTTTGTTGAGGTTTTCTGTTCCTCTTCCTGCCGCAGAGCTGCTGTTTATCCAGAGCTGTAACCCTTGGGATCTCTGTGCAAAGGGTGAGAGGAGGGAGGGTGTGGAAAGAAGGGAATATTCGCTGTGGAACCAGCACTGACTGTTGCAGTGTCTTTGAAAAGGTTCAAAGGATGCATCAAAACGCCGCTGGTACAGAAGTGGCTGATAGAAGCTTCCCAAAGTCAGATGAAATAGGAGATAAAAAAGGAGATCTGAGGAGGCAATCCAAGAGGTTAAGCACTGGGAGAGCTGGGCTAGGTGAGGGACGGCCCTCAAAGTCACCGCAGCCCCCAACTCGCTCTGTTTTGCAGAGCCTCAAGGTGAAGGCCGTGCACGTAGCCTGCCCCGCTTCTAAGCTTGCAGAGTTTGCATAAATGCCTGAAATCTTTGAAGTTTTCTTAGGCAGTTTCATGATTCTGGGGGAGCGACGGGGTAGAGCCAGGGCCGGGCTGGGGCTGCGGGAGCTCTGCGGGGGAAGCTGCAGCTGCCCGTGGTGGAGCTGGCGGGTCACTGAGCTCAGGCCAGGCCCTGGTGCAGAGTGGGGGTCCTGGGGGGGCAGGGGGGCGGCTGCAGGGACTGGATGGTCCCGACCCCCTGTCAGTGCCAGGCAGGGAGGTGGGGGGGTCTGGGCGGCAGTGGGGGTGTCACCCCAGGAGCCCCCCAGGCTTATGGGGGGGACCCGGCCCGAACCCCCTCAAGGAGCCCCAACCCGGGCTGGTTTTGGGGGTCCGGCCCCCCGGGAATGGGTTGGGGTCGAAGCAGCCCTTGCTGAGGGGCGGGGCTTGTGTCGCTGGGGGCGGGGCTATGCACATTAGGGGCGTGGTCATGCAGGGAGGGCACGTGGCCCTGCCGGCGGCGGGGCGGGGGGAGCGCGCGCGAGCGCGCGCGCCCTCCAGGAGG